GTGGTTTTGATTTGCCTGCCATTATTTCTTGAAATATTTTATCTGCCCCATTCCTTTTCTGAGACCCCTATTACATGTAAACTAGACTGGCATTTCCTCACAGATTATTATTTTCCCATTCATATTGTTTCCCTCAGGCCTTGAGTATAATTTGCTATGCCTTCATTTCCACCGATCTTTTGTGTTTTTTCCCGTAATGTCTAACTTCCTGTAGCCCCAAAGAGTAAAATTTTCATTTAGATCATTGTATTTTTAAGCTCTAGAAGCCCCATTGGTTATATTTTAATATTTTTACCTCATTATGTTGCTGTTTTACTTTATATATGTACACATAATTGTAAAACCTGTTTTAGCATCATTGTTTTTGTTTTATTGTTACTAAGTGCCCTCAAGTCAGTTTTGACATTTAGTGACTCAGTATAAGGTTTCTCAGGAGTAGCTAGTGAGTTTGAACCGCCAACTTTGTGGTGCAAACCAACCTTGAGGTCCAGTGTTTATCCTATAGCACCACATCAGGACTCCTGTTTTTGCTTAAGTGTCTCTGTAAACTGATTTTTCTCCTAGTATGGGCCATGTTTTTTTGCTTGAAATACCTAGTAATTTTTATTGAATGCTAGACATTGTGAATATTATGTGTGCCTTCCTTCTAAGAATATTCATTTTGCTTTGGGGAAGCAGTTAAATTTGTTACAGCAAGTATTTATAAAAGTAGCCCTTTCTCTAGGACTAATTTTAGCATCTCAACTGAATGCCCCAAACTCCTGGTGTGTGCATGCAGTATAATCAGCACTGGATTTCGAACGACAAGGCTGGCAGTTCAAACCCACCAGCTGCTCCTTGGAAACCCTATACAGGGTCACTATGAGAGCCAACGCTATGACACTTACTATTTAAACATCATTATTTAACAATTGTTAAGATTATCCTACAGTGCAACATAAAAGAACTTAGTCTGACTTATTTATCCAGACACCCATTTTCTTTCAGGCACCTTGGTCAGTCCCCTATTTCTATTTTTTAGATATAAACCTTTTGTACCTTTTGACTTGCAGATGTCTTTAGAGCCCATGGGTCATTCTTTAAGGATTTCCTTTACGAAGACTTTTTAGGTAGGTGAAGTTATTTGGAATTTTCTCTGGGGAGTAAAGTACATAATTGAGCTGATTGTTATCATGTGACAGATACTTTGCTAGGTATTGGGGATACATAATCTCAGTGCTATCTCTGCAACACCTCTAGAATGGTGAATATTTCCTTTTTTTTTAAGATCGGGAAGCTAAAGCTTAAAATAGCTAACTTTGCTCAAACACAAACAGGTAGAAGACGGTCGAGCTGGGTTTAGACCAAGGGTTGAATGGCTTTGGAGCCTGTTGTCCTAATCACCTGATGCTCTGTGCCTCCCCCAACCCCACTCCATTCCCTTAAGGAGCTCATCTGAGTTCAGCTTTGGTGTCTGTGGGACGGGGGTCTGTCACACAAGTTCTTATTCCTTTGTAACCCATCCCTTTATCTTTCCTCACTCAGGAAGTCACTGATGTGTTTCTATCAGTGACATGTCTGAATTTTTTATATATAAATGGAATAGATTCTACTTATTTTTTGACCAGCTTTGTTCATTCATATTTTGAGATTCATGTAGTTTACATGTATCAATAATTCATTCCTTTTTTATTGCTAAGTGGTATTCCATCATGGAACATACCAGTTGTTCAACATCCTTGCTGACACTTGGTATGGTTAGTCTAGAATTTTATGGCACTGTAGGTAGGATCAGCATTGGATTGTGAACCACAAGGTCAGCAGTTCAAACCCATCAGCTGCTCCTCAGACACCCTATCAAGGGTCACTGAGTTGGAACTGACTCAAAGGCACTTAACAACAATGGGCTCTGGAGTGTGGTGGCCCGTGGTTTGAGGCCACCCCCAGCTGCTCCACAGGAGGAAGAGGTTTTCTATTCCCATAAAGACATACTTAGAAACCCTATATAGGGTGGTTATGAGTCAGAACCGACTCCACAAAACTGGGTTGTATAGTGGTATCAGATTATGGTTTTAATGAGCAATTACCTAATAACTAATGGCATTGAATACTTTATCATAAATTTATTTGCTATTCATACTTTTTCTTTAGTGAAGCATCCTTTATATCTTCTGCCAACTTTTTTTACTGGGTTTTCTCATCATTGAGTTGTAAGAGTTCTTCACATGAGGGGGCTTCAAAGTTTGTGGAAAAGTGGAACTAAAATATATGGAATTTTCCCACAAATTTTTGAAGCTCCATGTATATACACATGTGTTTAATCATGTTAAGGAATAACTTTAACCTAATTTTACCAAGGATTTTTATCAGATACAAATATTAGAACTTTACCAATGTTTTTAAAAATATTTCCTAATATTCAAATACCTTTACTTTCTTGGTATGATAATCATCTATCATTTAAAATTTTTTATTATAGGAAACCTTAAAATAGATGTGAAAGTTGAAGAACAATACAAATGAACCGTATGTACTCCTGATCTAAATCCAACAACTATCAAACCCTAACCAATCTTATTTTATCTAGGTCCTCACACATTCCCTCTCAACACATTATTTTGAAGTCCCAGATATCATATAACAGGTTCATGTGATTGTGAGCTGGTATGTCCATACGTAGTTCAGGTGACATGCAGGCGATTTCTGCAGGCTTGTGTACTAAAATCCTTCAGTCAGGTGACGTAAAGAGTGAAGGAGCTCATGCAATTTATCTATTTATAGGCTAGTGGCAGAATATACCCTAGGGAAACTCTCTTTTTGCTCTTACAGCATCCAATTATTTGGATGTGGCCCATCCACTTTACAGAAGATAATCTGCTTTACTTAAGGTAAACACAGCAACTAACTAGTATTTTTATTACCAAACTGGGCACCATAGTTACCACATTAAAATGAACCATCTCAGTATCCTTTTAAAATCATAGAACTTTGATATATATTGACTTATCTGAAGGCTTCAGAAAAATGATTTGCTGCTGTTAATTGTATTTTGCTGAGGTTACTCAATCTGGCTTCTATGTATCTGCTAATTTTGAGCAAAATGAAGGTGCTTTTTACAAAGCCTGAATTTCAATGGGAGTTATTTTATGGTAATCATCATTGCAAGGCAATTGTCAGCACAATGAGAGAAGTCGTTAGTAGAATGCTTGTTACTGGTAAAAGTTTCTAATTGGCATGAACTGGCTGGATGTTTTTCTGTGGGTCCCATTCACTGACTCTGTAACCAATAAGGCTCTTCTGACTGACTTCCTTCCATTTTTCTTTCAACGTTTTGTGTATCTATAAAGGTAAAACAGAGAAACTTACAACCTAATAAATAACAATATCTCCTTCAAAAAATTTTTTGTTATTTAAACTTTTCTAAAGTATACAGAAAGGACCCTTGTGGTGCACTGGGTTGCACTGGGTTATCTGTTGGGCTACTAACTGCAAGGTCAGTAGTTCAAACCTACCTAATAAATAGCACTTTGTAGGAGAAAGATGAATCTGTCTGCTTCCATAAAGACAGTCTTAGAAACACTATATAGGATGGCTAGGAGTCAGAATCGACTTGAGGGCAATAAATTAACGTACACAAACAGGAAAAAGAAATCCTTTCTTTCGAGGTTTATTTGAAAACTAATCAAATTTTAACCAACCAAACACATACTTGAGCTTTAATGTTTAAATGTACAGTTCACAGAAAAAAGAATACAAATGGCTCTAGTAAATACACTCAACCTTAGTAAGAGAAACACAAAGTAAAAACTACTCTGAAATCAAAATGCCATTTTCCATCTAAAAGATGAGAAAAGATCAAAAAGTTTGATAACACTGGTGAAGATGTGTGGAAGTGTAAACTGACCTACCCCTCATAGAAAGCAATTTGTCCACATTTATAAAAAATAAAAAAGTATAAACCTTTTGATCCAGTAATTTGTTTTAGAATTTGTGTTATAGAAATTCACTCATGTGCAACATGACCTATACAAAAGGTTATTAAATGCAGCATTATTTATAATAGGAAAAAACTGCAAAGAATTAAAATGTCTATCAGTAGGCACTGCTCACATACCTTATGGTATATTCATACAATAAAGTCTTACGCACAGATCCCCCCAAGATTATTGCCCTTAGATAACCTTCAAACCTGAAAGTGAACCCACTCCCTGAGATCACCTTCCTGAAAAATAATAGAAAGGCCTATAAAGTGAACAAAACACCCATGAAGAAGGGGCACCATCTGCACAAAAACAAAGTTTAAAAGGCAGAAATGAGCAGGAATGATGGGAGAATGGAGCCGCGGAACTCAAAGAGTCCTGTTACGTTGAGAGGATTCCAATTAATGTTATGAAACAAAATGTGTACAAATTGTTTAATGGGAAACTAAATTGTTCTGTAAACTTTCACTCAAACCACAATAAATGTTCACATTTTAAAAGAGAAAATCATATGCAGTTGTAAACAACAACAAAAAAAATCAAGAAGCTATTTATGTACTGATAAAGCATGATCTCTAAAATACTGTGTTAAGGAAAGAATGTAAAGAGCAATGTGCACTGAAGATATATAAAATATCTCTGGAAGAACACTCAAGAACCTGTTAACACACCAGGGAAGGAGAACTTCCTTGGATGTTAAAAGTGAGAAGGATATTTTAGGCACTGAATTTTGAACCATGTAATGTGTTAGTAGCGTAGTGGTTACGAATTGGGCTTCGAACCTTAAGGTCAGCAGTCTGAAACTACCAGCTGTTCCGCGGGAGAAAGATGAGGCTCTCTGTTCTTGTACAGATTTATAACCTCGGAAACCCTATACAGGGTCGCTGTGAGTCAGAACTGACTCCACGGCACATAACCACCACCAATGTGTTAATATGTTTTGTTGAAAAATATTTTTTCCTAAGAGGTAATTTTTGAAATAAAAACTATAATGTTCCAACAAGATTCTTTTAGGTAAAATCAAATTAGTAAGCATCATATTTATTTCATCTGATTGATAAACTTTTCCACAATTCCATTGAGTCTTTCGGGCTCCATCAGATTGTTTACCAATTCCTGCTCAACTGCCATCAAGGCCATGTCACTACATCTCTCTTGCCCCATGGTATGATGTAAGTATGCTTTCAGGCGAGGCAGTGCAGAAAATGAGTTTTGAGCATTTGCTGAAGTAATTGGCCAAGACAAAGCAATATGTAATAGATGAGAGATGCCAGGGACATTACTGTAAAGCCCATGCTGAATAAACAAATAGCTAAGATTTATGAAGTTGACACAATCACAATCCATGAAAAAGTTGAGCTTTGCATAATGCCTATAAAACCTAAGTTCTGGTACAATATCTGTATCAAGTTTATAAAATTCTTGAACATGTTTGGCAGTTGCTTCATTTAATGGCTCATTCCATTTAAACAATAGCTCTGAAATTTGCTGTATTTTGCCATAATCAAACTCTGAAAAGCATGATTTTAAATTCTGCAATAGAGTATCCAATCCTTGGTAATAAATATTACTTTTATAGTGTTCCTCAGTTGAAGTAGAAAGAAACATACTATCTGAATTGCTATGATCTATTGTTTTCTGAATTTTTCTTCTTTTTTGAAGAGGTTTTTCAACTTCAAAACCTTTACTGGTGATTTTCTGACTTATTTCCTCTGCTCCATCCCAGAGGGTTTTGAAATAAACATCATTTCTCTCAGATGATAAACATTCAAAGATTGTTTCTATTTTTGAAGACAAAGAAAAAATGTTCATAGTTTCACTCTGAAGTTCTTTGGAAAGGATTTCTGTAACACTCAGCACTTGATAAAGAAATTTTAAACAAAAGATAAATTCAAATTTGGAAATCAATGTCAACAAATTACTCAATTTATCAGCTAAATTTATGTTTGAAGAATGGCTTGATATAGCTTCCAATGTTTTGATAATCTCTGGAAGACCCTCAATTATAGATAATAATATATGGTCATGAGCTGTCCAACATGACTGTGATAGATGTTTCTTGCATGTTTTGTTTTGGCTTAGTTTACAAATATTCTGTAAATTTGCCAATATTTCCCCAGACATCCGAATAGTGTTGAACAAAGTATCGAGAGTATTTAAAGTACTTTGGAGTTCCTTTACTTCTTGACAAAACCTAATGACTGCTAAATCCAAAAAATGTGCGTAACAATGTAAGTATAAAGCTCTTGGCTCTTCTTTCTTGAACTCTGCTGCAATTTCATTAAAATTTCCCCTCAAATTAATGGTACTATCATAGGCTTGGCCACGTATGTTTTTCAAATCAACTCCAATTTGCTGTAGATAAGTTTTAATAATCCTATGTAAGTCAGTCCCAGTTACCTCTTCAATATCAATGAAACCCACAAATCGTTCTTTTATTAAAATAGTCTTTGATGTTTTTTGTGGGTACCTTATGCAAACTGAAAATTGTCCTTTAGTGGTACTATCAGTTATTTCGTCACAAATCACTGAAAAAGCTGAGGAGACATTGATCTCATTCACAATATCTTGCAACATTACAGTCTTTATTATTTCAATAATTTCAGTTTGAACTTGTGAGCTATTGTAGAAGTCAACTTGTGAGTTCATAAGTTGAAATGTTCCTTCTCCTTTATCTTTTGCTCTGATTTCTAACAATTCTAAAAAATTGCCTTTATTTATAGATGAAACAGATTGGTCATTTCTTCTGAAGGGTAAACACTGCTTTCCAAGAAACAAAATAGTTTCAATGATAAATTTTAAGAAGTCTTTGTTTTCCTCATTTTTTTTTGAATGAACAGACAAATTATTATTGACAGCTTCATCAGTAAACTGGTATTCCCTCCAAAACTGCAATGACTTCAAATGCATCTCACTTTTTTCATGCTTTCTGAATTTTTCCATAGTTTTTTTCCAATTAGAAATTCTTTGAGTTGTAAATGACTCTCTTCCAGAGCTAAAAATTTTTTGGCAAAACAATTGACATGAATAACAGAATGTCACATCCTTTTTACCACTGTTTTCCAAATATTGATTTGAATAGCAAGATTTTTTAATACTTCGTGATTTCCCTTTAACTTTTTGTACTTTGGATGTAAACTGTAGATGACACAGTCCATCGTTTATTTTTATGGATTTCAAATTGTATGTAGGGTCCTGGCTTGACACTTGATCTTTTTGTCCTTCCATATCAGAGCCAACTGTATGCTGACTGGGTACAGATGAAGATGGTGAAAGGCTTGGCTGTTCCACATTGCTGTTAGCAATACCACTACTTGATTCACTGGGTGAATTCTTAGAAATCTTGGGAAGAAAATGATAAAATAAAACTTTAGCAGTTGTCAAATAATCAGTTAAAATATTGAACAGACCATTCTTACTGAGTAAAATGAATGGCACAGTATGTGTTCCATTAGAGGGGGAACATTAACAATTATATTTTAACTATATAAAGTCTACATTCAGCATTAACTGTTCAAAGGACATCTTAAACATAATTATAGTAAAAATAATTGTTGTTCAAGTGACTAGAGTTGCCTAACAAGTATTTAACAAAAAAACAAACAGAGGAAATATTTGACTAATAATGCTTCTGTTTAAACATTATTCTTATAATAATTTGAAGTCTAACCTGACATTTGGGAAATTGAATATAAACAGCAGAGTATTGTCAGTGTTTATTTACTCTATTTTTTGAAATTTATGATGAAAATACGAATAAATATGATCAAATACATATATGCAAAAGAAACTGAGACTAAAACTTACATCTGCAATGACATTTGATGTTACTGGAGAAACTGTACCTGTTAAATTAATAAAACATAAATTCAAGATCTTAAAAATCTGTAAAATACCATCAGAAACTGTAATTGCTTATTGCACATCAGGAAACGAAAACAAAACTTAAGAGTCTAGACAGATTCATCAAGTATGGTAAAATGGTGTGTATATAAAATATCTTCAAATGAAGTCATACCATCTAGGATGTCAGAATTCACAATGGACAGTTCACCAGGAGGATCTGCCAATGACACTATATTGCTTATAACTGGAGTTGAATCTGTCTTTGGAGAAAGTTCAGTTGAAGCCTCTAGTACCATGGGAACATTTACTGATAAAAATAAAAAGGATTTTATAAACCAAGCAGAATCAATCAGAAACAATGTTAATAACATGCATTTTAAGGAAAAGTACAAATATAGACTAACTTTTAGGTATTGCTGGGCTACATAATTCTTTCTAATTGGAGTTAACATGAACTAGGATTTAGGGATAGCCAGATTCTTTAGGATAATATTAATAACAGTATTAAACAGACAGTTCATAGTTCACCATCATTTTATAGCTTTCTGCACACTATTGTGTGCAGTCTTTTTATACTACTTGCTTGAAATTATAAGCAAATTTTTACTATGAAATTAGCTATGAAAAACATAAGAGATACCTATATAATATCCTAACAGGTGCCATTTCTAACTCTGCTGGGCTTCATAAACCTTAACATCAATGGAGTTAGGTGGGTGGCCAATCTAGTATTGAAGAGATTTCTGTAATAAGCCAGTGTACAAACTCCAGAGACAACATTCTCTAGTCTTATGTAACTGGTACCCCTGGTACTACAGGAGTAGTACCCCTGGTACTACAGGAGGCTAAGAAAATACCCAGTTGACTCTGGATTATTTGTGTTTTCCTATTAGTGAACTTCCAACAAGATCTACCTTATGTGATCAATATTACTGATAGTCTTGTTTTTACAAAACCCCCCAAAAAACCAAACTCACTGCCACTGAGTCAATTCTAACTCATAGCGACCCTATATAGTGTTTCCACAGCTAGAAATCTTTAAGGGAGCAGAAAGCTTCATTTTGCTTCCACATAACAGCTGGTGGGTTTGAACTGCTGGCCTTCTGTCAATAGTCCAGTGCTTATCTTACATCATTATGAGGGCTCCCTGGTTTTTATGAAGCAGGGATGAACGTGACAGAATACTCTATTTCTAACAGAATTCCTTATCATAAATATATTACTCAATATATTTTGACTGAACGCTTCCTATATATCAAATTCTGTGGCAATAAGTGTCATATACCAAGAATATGACATATATATTCATTTACAAAAGGGTCCAAATAATCTAAAGACCAAACCAAACTTGTTATCATTATTTCTCGCTAATGGTGATTCCATGTATTCCAGAGTAAAACTACTTCACAGGGATTAACTGGCTATAATCTTTACAGAAGCAAATTGCCAGGCCTTTCTTCAAACTGCAACCTTTAAGTTAGTAAACATTGAGTACAAACTGTATCACCCAGGGACTTAATAAAGACATGTATCCTTGTTTCTTTTTCCTTAAATCTTGTCTTAAAACAGAAACAATCTTTACAGTTAAGTATTAAATTCTCTGGTGGTGAAGTAGCATTCATCTTGCATAAAAATATTAAAAACAGTTCTTAGCAATATGTTTTAAACTGTTTTACTTTTAAATCAGTTTTATTTAGAAATGAATAAAAGTTATAAATGAAAACAAAGCAGCAATGTTTTTCTTTGATATTTACTAACCTTTAGTTACTATACCTATGGTAAGTGCTAAACAAACATTACCTGCAGAAGATTCCATCTTAGCTTTATTGTAAGCAGAGAAACAATGAATAGAGCAGAAAAGCTCTGTCTTCCCAAAGTCATTGGTAGTCTCAATAATTTCATCTGAGGGCTTCAGGGATTTGAAAAGAACAGATGGAAGTATTTTGGCTGGTTTCTGTTTAGAGATTAAAATAACATTTGTATTCCTGGTTGTTAAGTGCCGTCGAGTCAGTTCTGACCCATAGCGACCCTCTACAGGGTTTCTGAGAATGTAAATCTTTATGGGAGTAGAAAGCCTCATTTTTCTCCCGCGGAGCGGCTGGTAGTTTCGAACCACTGACCTTAAGGTTCGCAGCCCGATTCGTAACCACTACGCTACCAGAGCTCCTTTGTATTCCTGGTATATGACACTTATTGTAAACAAACCAAAATATACTCATCGTGGCTGCTCTTAATTAAAATATTACAAATAAGGTTAATGAATCTACATTTTTAACACTTTCTTAAAAAACAGAAAAAAGGCAATAGATTGCAGTGACTGTAAAATGGAGGAAATGAGTAGGTCTATTGTTTTGGAATCCTGGTGTGGCTCTGTAAAGTGTGGCTCTGTAAGCACTGGGCTGCTAACTGCAAGGTTGGCAGTTCAAATCTGACAGCCACTCTTGGGAATCCCTACATGGGGTTCCAACTCATAGAGACTCTATAGGGTTTTTGAGGCCATAAATCTTTGCAGGAGCAGAAAGCTCCTGGAGTGGTTGGTAGGCTGGAACTGCCAACCTTAGTTTGCAGTTTAGTGTTTACCCTACAGAACCACCACTCTCCCAATAAATCTGTAAGAAAACTTAAATTCGTCAGTCACATTAACAACAATAATATATGTAAGCAGTGAGGAAATTGGTCATATCATCATTACAGACAACAAAACCAACTAGATAAATAAACCTAACAAGGTATTGTTGAGTTGATTCAAACTAATGGCATACCCTATGGGTCGGAGCAGAACTGTATTCTAACAGGGTTTTCAATGGCTGCATTTTTAGAAGTAGAAAACTAGGTTTTTCCTTTGAGGCAACTGAGCAGTCATGAACCTCTAATATTTTAGTTAGCAGCTGAGCACATTAACCATTTTTATCACCAAGGTACTTCCAGATATATAAACAAATGTCTTAAAATATTAAGTCTCTTCTTATGTCAGCTTGGGCATCAACTCAGGAAAATTTATCAGTGTTGAAAAGGTCTGAAAGGCAGCTTAACACACATACTGAGATATTGTGGGAATCCTGTTTTTCTAGGCTAACCTCAAATGTAAACGTATTTTAAGAAAGCAGCATACTAGCATTAAGTAAAATGAGCTTAGTAAGCAGCAAGTATACAAAGGAAAAGGATATAAAGTGAGAGGTTTCCTGAGGAGTTTCTTATCTATTCTTTCTAATGAAGCAGAAACTATCATTCCTGAATTAAAGAATAATGCATTAATGAAATAAAACTGCTTTTGGGGACACAAAGTGCAAAGATAAATGAAAATATCTGTGAGAGAACAAGAGAATAGCAAAAAACAATGAAACAAACAGGAAGATGTTGAAAATTCCTTTTTATCCTTTATTAAATGAACAACTTTTATATTTTGAGAAACCCCTAACAATTTACCACTGTTCAACATTAAATAGCAGGAGTAGTATAGCAATCCATACACCAAACAACCTATTTTAAAACTAAAGTCACCCTATTTTTAGATTTGTAACCTTTTCTAATTCTTGGTTATAGTTAACAAACAATATAGATTGTTCTCCATTTGTACTACCAGGCAGTCTCTTATATGTAGGACAGTCTGAGGTGGTGTTTGTTAACTGATTTACCCACATCAGCCACATCACATCTATCACATGTGCTCGATAACTGGGCATCACCCACAGGCTTTTAAAAAAAGGACAAGAATTTGTATCTATTTATTGAGTGTGGAGATAAAGAAGAAAAAGAAGGAATGATATTTTTCTTCCCTGCCGTCTATTCTTTCCAAAGCAGGATATTTGTCCTGGTGGCACGTTCTCCAACAGAAAAGATGTAGCATACAGATGAACTATCTTGGACTGTGGCACACTGGGACTCCCATTTTCAGTCGTTTGTTTTTTAAGGGAGAATTTAAAGGAATAGACTTTGTCTCAAAGCATCATCTGAACATATAAGGCATGTGACAGCTTAACCATGAAAGAGGTCATCTCGCTTAGTTCACCAAGCCTCTCCTATCAGATGTAAGGAGTTATTTCTCAATCATTTAATTCCTTCTATGACTAATTCAGAAAAAGCATATAATTTTCTTGAGTCACCTTTACCTTGCTTAGGAGTAAGTTAAACACATGGTATTACAAATACTTTATGCTAAGTCTTGTAATTATTGTTGGTGCTAAGTGCCACCAAACTGGTTCTGATTCATACTGACCCTGTATAGAGTTTCTGAGGAGTGGCTGGTGGATTTGAACCATCGACCTTGCAGTTAGCAGACCAGTGCTTATCCTACAGCATCACACCGGGACCCCTAATTCCTATAAGAGACGAGTGTATCTTCACTTAACTTATTTGTAGTTTATAAACAGGCCTCCATTTACTTGCCCTTCCTTCAAAGTAAGATGATCACCCTAACACTCTAAGAAATTCTCCATCCAGTATTTTATCAAGAATTCTTATATAAGAAAAAACTTATAAAAAGTCTTCTATTTCATCTTCTACATCATCTTACCAAACCATTAGTCTCACTGGCACCAAAACGTGTATTTCCACATTTTCCGAGTAGAACCACTCATAAGCCAACTAACAGAAGGAACAAAATCTTCTAATTTTCATTTCAACCCTATGCAGTCAGTTCAAATGACGTAGTTCTCACATTAAGCAATACATTTTTATTCATACCTGCTTGCATGCTGTTACATTCTTTGAACTATTAAAGTACTGAGATTGTCCTTCCATCTGAAGTATGTGGAATGAACTAGAGTTCGTGTAACAGTAAACCCCACAGTTCTCACAACAGTTCATGACAAGGTTGTTAGCAGAGTGAAACTTTAAGAAGCAGTTATTACTGCAGAGGCTGGATTTCACGTTCTGGTATCTTACTTCATACTGAATCTAGAAGTTAAAAAACAAAAACCAGTCAGTTAAAAACTATGATATTTAAGCACAGTCATAAGAGTTTAAAAAGGTTAAAAAATTAACAACTTACAACAGTAGGCTTCTGACACATGCTGCATTTAGTTAAAATGCTATTACTACATATGGTAACAAATGGTTTTCTTTTTTCTTCATATGATGAAAGACAAGATTGGCTACAAAAATTTTTACTAGAAGTATTTTCCAGCTGAATACTGATCACATCCTTTGGATTTAAGATGTCTCTAAAAATAAGTAACAAGGGCACCATTAAACACTTTCATCTTAAATTTCTCCATCAATCCCTCTCCCTAGCTGTTATATTCACCCCAAAAAACTGTAAAATACTAGTATGAACACCTGCTTAGAGAACCTAAATTTGTTATCTAGCTCTAGTTATTAAAATAAACTTAGGCAAGTTATTTATATTGTTTATTTCCTCATCTATAAATTAGGGACTATGAAGTACAACTCAAAAAGTGTCACTCCGTGTATTTTGGTTGGTGCTTGTGATAAAAGAACGATGAGAAATCACAATTATGAATAACCTGAACACCTTTGGAATCTATAGGACAGAATATTTTTTAAAAATAGCTACCTGAGACCCTTGCCTTCAGCTACTTGGTCTGGAACAAAACTCACCCTTGTGGCCCAATTTTCAACCAAGTAGTAGATAGGTATATAAAGTGGGAATAACAATGCTAGTAAGGTATGCTCACCATGGATAGGTCAACCATTCAAGATCAAAAAGGGTAACATTTACCTAGTGACAAAGTTGAGAAGAAATGGGAAGGAGGGTGAAATGGTAATGTGAACCACAGAGAGGAAGTGGGATAACTGTTATTGCATGGAAGGGATTGTGATCATGGAGATGAAATGAAGTGTATACTTGGTTGAATGTAAAATGGTGATCTCAGTAAAATTTCACTCAGCTCACAATGAAAAAGTTTCAAAAAAAGGTTAGCAAACGCTGATATTTTTCAGGGATCCATGAGATCAAAACTAATTTCATAAAAATATTAAGATGAGCTTTGCCAAACCAAAGAGGCCAGAATTCTTTGGGGTAGGGTTTTGCTGCTTTTGAGTCAGTTCCCACTTAGTGACTCTATGAACAACAAAACGAAACACTGCCTGGTCTGGCATCATCCTCACAATTTTTGTTATATTTGAGCTCATTTCTGTTGCCAATGTGCTAATCTATCTCATTGGGGCTTTCCTTTTTCTGTACCTCTACTTTACCAACCCTGACGTCCTTTTCAAAGAACTGATCACCCCTGTATGAGAGAATACATGTTGCCATTCTGGCTTCTAAGAACATTCTGGCTGCACTTTTTCCACCATAGATTTGTTTGTTCTTCTGGCAGTCCATGGTACTTTTAATATTCATATCCAACACTATAATTCCAATGCATCAATTCTTCCTTCTATGGTCTTTATTCACGTCCAACTTTAATATGCATATAAGGCTACTGAAAATAGGTGGATTTCAGTGATGGAAAAATCTGCCTTCAGAAGTTTACATACCTAATTAGAAGATAAGAAACAAGAGCTTTGATAATTTTGTTTAATCAAGATGTCTATGATTTATAGCAATACTTTTTGACTTATCCTCATATATTAAATTCACAGGTGGTATGGATTGAACTGTGAACTCCCAAAGTATGTTCTATAAATCCGATTCCTATACCTGCAGATAAAGTCCTACTTGAAAATAAGGTTTCTTACGTTGTTACGTATGACATCTAAAATCTTATCACTTTTGAGATATACACGCTGTTGTTGTTGTTGTCATGTGCCATCGAGTGGAAACCAACTCATAGCGACCCCATGCACAGCAGAACGAAACAATGTCCAATCCTGGGCCAACCTCACTACCACTGCCACACTTGAGTCCATCAAATGATGCCACCTGGCCAATCCATCTCCTTAGGGGTCTTCCTCTTTTTCTCTGACCCTCCACTTACCCAGCATGACATCCTTCTCCAGCGACTGTTCCCTCCGGACAATATGTCCAAAGTATGAGACGAAGCTTAGCCATCTTGGCCTCCAAGGAGCACTATGGCTGCACTTCTTCCAAAACAGATCTATTGGTTCTTCTGGCAACCCATGGCACTTTCAGTATTCTCCTCCAACACCATAACTCAAAGGCATCAATTCTTCTATGATCTTCCTCATTCACTGTCCAGCTTTCGCATCCATATGAGGTTATTGAAAATACCATGGCTTGGGTCAGGCGCACCTTAGTCTTCAAGCTGACATCTCTATCTCTGCTCTTCAATACTTTGAAAAGTTCCTGTGCAGCAGATTTACCCAATGCAATACGCTGTCTGATCTCTTGACTGCTGCTTCCGCGAGTGTTGATAGCTGATCCAAGAAGAATGAAGTCCTTGACAACGTCAATCTTTTCTCCATTGATAAGAATGTTGTTTATTGGTCCAGTGGTGAGGATTTTTGTCTTCTTGACATTGAGATGCAATCCATATCAAAGTCTGTGCTCTTTGATTTTCATGATGCATACGGAAAAGGAGGGTGAGGATGGCTGCACTATTTGACAAATGTGATGAATGTTACTTAATTGTGAACATAGAAAATATGGAATTGGTATTTGGTTGTGTACATTTTCAGCAATTTAAAAACTGATTTTTGAAAAAAAAGAAAAAACATGTTATTTGTCCTTTTCGCTGTGCTGACATTTTGACTGATGCTGCACAAGCAATGGTGAGGAAAACTACCACTTAGCACAAATCAAGCCAGTGTCACCAAAATGTACAAGTATGTATTTAACTGCCATGCATTCACACTCAAAAGATCATGCGCCATTTTCAAAATTGTTGATAGGTTTGTGTCCCTTGTTGTAGTTACTATGTCAATCCATCTCTTTGGGATCTTCCTCTTTTTCGCTGACACTCTTATCAAGCATCTCATTTTCTAGGGACTGGTCCCACACGTAATTCTGTAAGTGAAGCCTTACCATCTTCCTAAGGTGCATTTGGCTGTGCAATTCCAAGACAATTTTGATTTTCTGGCATTCAATGGTACCTTCAACATTCTTCAACAACACAATTCAGATGCATTGGTTCTTCTCTGGTCTTCCTTATTCACTGTCCAATTATCGTATGTACACGAGGTGAATGAAAATTTGAGCCAGGCACATCTTAGTCCTCAAAGTGACATCTTTATTCTTTCACATGTTTGCAACAGATCTGTTTAATACAAGTCCAATGCTTATCCTACAGCACCACACCAGGACCACTAGATCTTATAACAGATTAGTGTATTTTTGCTTGTTTGTAGTTTATAAACAGGTCTTCATTTACTTGCCTTTCCTTCAAGGTAGATGATCACTCACTCCGAGGTTCTTCAGGAAAAACTGTCCAGCATTATCAAGAATTCTTACAAAAGAAAAAATTATTAAAAAATCTAAAATTATCAGAATTCAAATTACTTGATTTCTTGACTGTTGCTTCCAGGAGCACTGATTCTGGATCCAAGTAAAATACAATTGTTGACAACTCCATTTTTCTTCATTTATCATGTTTATTGGACCGGCTGTTAAGAATATTTCTTTACTTTACTCTGAGGTGTGGCATTCTGATGTGGCACTGTGGGTTAATGTGCTGCACTGCAAAGTCAGTTTGAACCACAGGTTGGTGGTTCAAGCTCACCAGTCGTTCCTTGGAAACCCTACACAGGGCTGCTATGGGTCGGAACTGACTCAACGGCAAACAACATCATGGAGGTGTAATCTTTACTGAAGGCTGTAGTCTTTGGTCTTCATCAGTTAGTACTTTAAGTCCTCTAACTTCCAGCAAACAAGGCTGTGTCATTTGCATATCACTGTGTGTTAATGAGTCTTTCTCCAATCTTGATGCCATGTTTTTTTCATACAGTCCAGCTTCTTGGATTTTTCAGCATACAGATTGAATAAGCATGGTGAAAGGAAACAACCCTGATGCACATCCTTCCTGATTTTAAACAATACAGTATCTTCTTGTACTATTCAAATGACTAGATCTTAGTCTATATGTAAATTCCTCATGAGTGTTCTGGAATACCCATTCTCTGCAATGTTATCCACAGCTTGTCATGATCCACACTGTCAAATGTCTTTGCAGAGTCAATAAAGTACAACTAAATATCTTGGATATATCCTGCTTTCATCCAATATCTATGAGACATCACCAATGATATCCCTTGTTTCCTGCCCTCTTAAGTCTGGCTTGAATTTCTAATAGCTTCTGTCAATATACTGTTGCAACTGTTTTTTAATTATCTTCAGTAAAATTTTACTTGTGAGATTAATGATATTGTTCAATAATTTCCACATTTCTGTAAGGTCACCTTAGTAATAAGCACAGATATGGATTTCTTCCAATCAGCTGGCCAGATAGCTGTCTTCCTTATTTCTTGGTATAGATGAGTGCTTCCAGCATTGTATCAGTTTGTTAAAACATTTCAATTGCTAGTCCATCAATTTCCAGAAACTTGTTTTTGAATGTCTTCAGCACAGCTTGGACTTCTTTCTTCAATACCATCAGTTTTTGATCAAATGGTTAGATGCACACCAATTATTTTTGGTATAGTGACTCTATATTCCTCCATCTTCTTTCCCTGTTTTTTGGGGGGGGGGGGGAGGTACACAAAAACACTCAGGAATATTTAATAATGTAAACAACCAAAGGGCACATTTGGTAAGCCTGCCTCCTGGCTGCTAGCACTCAATCTTTCTTTCCATGAGTCTATAGAGTCCTCAGCTCTGCCTTCATCTCCGGTCTTGCTGCCTCTCCAGATAAGGTCCCACATTCTGCTTGTGCTCTTCTCCCTTGATGGTCCTAGGGTCCTCTGTACCTGAGATGTATATTAACTACTCCCGTTTTTGTTACAGAACTTCTATCTATAGTTGTAATTAGTAATGGTAATAATTACTATTGAATCATAAGAATCTTATCCCCATCTGTTGTTATGGGCTGTGGAGTCGGTTCCGACTCACAGTGAGCCTGTACAGGGAGGATTTTCAAGGCTGTAGATCTTTATGGGAGCAGAAAGCCTCAGCTTTCTCCTACAGAACAGCTGGTAGTTTTGAACTGCTGACCTTGAGGTTAGCAGCCCAATTCATAACCACTACACTACCAGAGCTCTGTATCTAGACCCATCTAGACAAGATGAAAACTATTCAGTGGGGACTCTACCTTTTCTCACACAATCTTAAACTCCCTCTTGAAAACTTGTAAACCAGTTACTTCGT